GGCGGAGAGGTGTGTCGCCTGGGGGCGGGGGTGACAGGGTCGGGCGGGTCTGGGCGCCCGGGCCTCCCGGTCCCCGCTCCGGCTCGGCGTGCACGGCCCGGGGACCCCTGCTGGGGGCCACGGAAGCATCCGCTGCGGAGGACTGTTGCACCGAATTGCGTCAGGAGCGCTCGGGGCGCGGGGTAGCCGCCTGCAGGGGGCGGAATCGGGGCCGGGGGCAGCTCGCCCCCCGCCCCGGCGCCGCCGCCCCGCCCCGCGAGCCTTCGGGCATTTAGGAAGGGGAGGCCGGGAAGAGACAGGATTGCGCGCGAAGCCCCCGCCCGGGAGAGCGTGCAGGCGGGCGGAGGCCGAGGCCGAGGCGCAGCCGGCCCCCGGGGCCCAGGCGCGCGGAGCTCAGAGAACCGGGCTCAGAGGACGAGTCCGCTCTCGGTCCCGATTGCGGTTACGTGGGACCCTCTCGCTGGCGAAGCGGGGCATGTCCGGGTCCCGCAGCCCCCGCACAAGGCGGAGGAGAGGCGAGGAGATCCGAGAGGGCGCAGGGGCGGTCGGGGTCGGCTCGCGGGCGGGACGGGGGCGGGAGGGGTGGGACTTCGTGGGGTGCGGGCAAGGACCTCGAAGGCGGCAGCCGGGAGGAGTGAGGCCGGACCCGGGAGAGCGGGGCGCGCGCAGAAGGGGGTGAATGGAAAGGCGAGTAGCCACGCCTTGGTCGTGAGTTCGCGTCCCTAGGTCCCGGCCCGGCCTCCCGGAGAGGCCACCGAGTGTGAGGTTTAGCACCTCCGGGCGGCGGCCGGACGGAGTGCTCCAGCGGCGAAGCTGCGGCGTCCCGCGCGGCCTCCGGAGGGCGCCGCCGCGGGCCGCGAGCACCGCGGGGTCCGAGGGTGGGCAGGAGGGGCAGGGGCGCGCCGGCCCTGGGTGTGTCAGGCTCTTGGAGGCCCGGAGCAGGAAGCTTGCGCAATCCCTTGGCTGCGCGTCCACCGACGAAGACAAGGAGCAGAAGAGCGGGTGGGAGGGGGACAGGAGCCATCCGGGTCCTCGCGACACGCGGCCGGGAGGGCCGGGCGAGGACTGCGCGAGGGCTCCGCGAGCCGGGGCGGGGCGAGGGCCAGGGGCGAAGCCCCAAAGCACGTCCGGGATGCGCGTGCTCCCGGAACCCCGGGAACTGAAGGCGCTCTGTCAGAAGCACACGGTAACGCCACCGTTCCCCCATGTCGCCAGCACCTGGCGGCACCGCGGCCGCGGCGGCTCGGTGGCGTGGCGGCCGCTGACTAAGGGAACTCGCGTGGCGCCTTCCCTGCAGGGGGGCGGGGGCGGCTCCTGACGCAGAGAGAGGCGCGCCCGGCGGCGACTGCTCTAGGAGAAGCCTGGGAGGGTGGGTGGGGACCGGCAAAGTGCGGCGACCCCCGCTGCTGTCTCCTGACCCGGGGCTCTCAGGGTTCATACAAGCTGAGGGACGTGAGCTCTTTTTTTGGGGAACAGAGAAAGGTCTTTGCCCTCTCCTGCGTTTTGGGGCTGTTCCCAGACCCTCCTGTTCGGGGTGGAGGAACTCTCGTGTGAGACACCCGGGGTCTTGCGGAAGAAGGGTCCCCTAAGTCGGCGCGGGACGCCCTATCAGCGGATGGTTGTCGGGGTCACGGTGAGCTAGACGCCCGGACGCCGGCGCCGTCTGGGTGCGTCGAGAAGTCTGCAGCGGCCTCGTCGTGGCCGCCCGCCCGCCCGGCGGGGAAGGAGCTCAGCTTCCTGACACGCGCTCGCCCCCTCACTCCAAAATCCCCTGGAAAATGTGTCTTGGGATGTGTTTCCGCGACGTCTTGGTGGTGGTGGTGGGGTACCCAGGTGGGCCAATGGCAACTGAGCCTCCCCGCCACCAGGGGCGTCTGACTCTGCCGGCTGCCGGCCGCGCTCGCTCGGCCCGGGCCCCTCGGGTACCCGTGCTCGGGACCTCGGGGGCCACACGGCGAGACCCAGAGACCCGAACGCGAGTTGCCCAGTAGCAGGTCGGTGGGTCCAGGCGGCGCTGGGGAGGAAGCAGGGTCCGCCCCCCATACGGCGGGTCTTTTCTGGACCTACCCCGGCCGCTGGCTCGCCAACGCTTCAGGGGAGCCCCTAAGCGTCACAGAGGCCCCCAGAGCCACGGCCACCCCACCCACAATGACTGGAAAGTCACCTAAACACGCAAGCATCCGCCTGCTTCCTCAGCGCGGTGTTTAGTCCTGGCGCAGGGTGGTCAGATATGGAGAAAGATCCCTGCCAGGTTCCCATCCTCACTTGGGGGCCAGGCCTAGGCCACCCTTCACCCCCAGGCAGGCGGCAGAACAGCTCACGTCTGCAGAAGTGTGAATGGGTGGCAGGCAAAAGGCGGAAAATATCCGGGGACCACCTCTGGAAGCCCCCCTGACTCCCAGCCCCTCTGGGAAACGTCCCATGGGCTGCCCTTCCTGCCCCATCTTGACCTGCGCTGGCCCCTGGAAGAGACTCGCAGGCCAGTCTGGCCCTGAACTCCAGATTCCCAGAGCCTTTGGACGGGGCCCCTGTCCGCCCAACCGGGAATGCCCCAGCCCAGGGGAAGCCCGGACAAGGGTCTGCAGGCCACTGTTGTCCTGCCTCCTGCCAGCTGCCCTCAGGCCAGCTCTTCCAGCTCTGCGGCAGGGCAGAAGCAGCCAGAGCGCCACTGCGGGTTGTGGCCCCCAGGGTCCCTCAGGGGCCCCGAGAGAGGAAGTTGTGGCTGCACCCAGCCCAGGCTCCAGCCCCAGGGAGACAGGGAGGAGTGAGTGGAACCTGGAGGAGTCTGAGAGGTGTGATCGCTGCGCTGGAAGGTGGTTACTGAGGGTCTGAGCTCAGGCAGGACACTCGTCAAGCCGTCAAGCTGAGACCAACCGACTCCTAAAGGCTCGCTCTCCCTGAAGGGGCGCTGCCCCCAACAGCCGCGTCTACACGGTTCTTGGCGTGGCACTATGGCGTCCTCAGGACGATGGTTTTCCCGGGGCTGGGGTGGGGGGTGCGGGTGGGACAGGGGAATCACCAGCCCAACCACAAATCGGGCCGGGCTTTCCTTGTGTTGACTCCTGTGCCCTGTCCTTAGAGGGGACTTTCTCTGGCTTCAGCCCTGGCATTTGAAATGTTTTTCTAGCCGCGGCCAAGTGGTCGTGGGCATGTGTGGGAGTGTGGGACCCCTGCACTCTGCCGCCTCCACCCTCCCAGAGATGTGTCTTGTCTGTAAGGGCGCCCCTCCGCCCCCATGTCCCACCCCTCTTTGTCACGCTGCCTGCGAAGGGACCGTTTTCCTGTGGTCGGCGAAGCCCCTGAGTCCCACCCGCGGGGCTAGAGCCCAGGGTCCAGGCTGGCGGGCCAGGCGCGGCGCGCGGGCGGGAACGGGGCGCAGGCGCGGCGAGGCCCGTGGCCCCTGGGCAGGGCCCAGCACCCCTCGGGGCCAGCGGGCGCCCGCGCGCCGCGCCTTCACGTTGACACACATGGGGGTCGACCTCGCCGAGACGGGACCCAGTGTTTCCCGCGCAGCCGCCAAGTCGGGGCTGCCTCCCAGGCCGCCGGCCGGCCGGCGCGGTCGCGGCTCCCTGGGCTCGAAGCCGGTGCCCTCAGGACCCATATTTCCAATGTCTTTCGAGCCGCTTCCCTTGTCCGCCGCCGCCGCGCTCTCAGCCGCCTGGGTGGACCTGGGGCCGATTTCTTTGGGGTTCGTTTGCCTGCGGGGTCCTCGCGGGGTCCCCTTCTCCCCGAGGCTTGCGCCTCCGCGTCCCCGCCCGTGGTTTGCGCTCGGTGCCCGGGTCGCGCCTCCGGCCCTGCAGGGCCCACACGCGGGGACGAGCCCTTTCTTTCCTTTTTAACCGAGAGCGGCTGCAGCTCGCCGGGGACCCGGGTGGAACTGCCGGGGAGCTCGCCCGCCGGACTCCTCCGTCAGCCCCCGCGGCGCCCCCTGAGTGAAGAGCGCGGGGGTGTGCGGGGAGCGGCCGGCGCGACCCCGCTGTCCCACCCGGAGCAGCGGCGGCAGATCAGAGGCCCAGGCGGCCCCAGTCCCCCAGCCCCGCGGGCCGCGCGCGGGGCTGGCTGCGGCCTGAACGACGAGGACGCGAGGAGGCCGCGTCCTGCGTCGCCGGAGCGGGGAGGGGCGGAGGCTGCTGAGCCGGGGCCGCGCGCGGCCCGGAGTCCGATCAATGCCCAGGGCGCGCGCGCGGCCGGGCCCGCCGTCCACCCGGGGGCGCGGGGGACGCCTCTGCACGGCGAGGGGGCACGGAGCGGGTGCCCAGGCCCCTGTGACCCGAGAGGGCGGCCGGGAAGGCCAGCCAGGCCGGAGCTCCGCCTGCGCTGCGGGGCGCCGGACACGGGGTAGGGGGCGTGTGGGGACGCCTCGGGCGCCCCCAAGTCCCTTCTGCTCTGTGTCAGGCCCGGGCCTGGACTACTTCCGGAGCAGACTGTGGCCGCGGTGCCACCTCGACCCTGTGGGCCCAGGCCCTCGTCCCCGCCCCACGCCTGCCCGGGAGGACGAGGTCAGCCCACCCATCGCCTCGCCCTGCCTTCCCGAACCCTGATGGGAATGTGTGGGTGTCCCCGGAGCCACCTCCGGAAAGACAGCTCCGCTTTGTCCAGGAAGCGCCCTCCCCAGCGTCCTCCGAGGGCCGATTCCTGGGCCGGCCCCCGAGGGTCCCCGCGGCACCCCCTCCCGCCACCCTGGCGGGGCTGCTCCGGGCGCCGGCGGGGCCCGGCCACGAGGCGCCTGCACTCGCGTCGCCCTCCCCTAGGGGGCGCGCTGCCCCCGGCTGGCCCGCGGTTCCGGGCCTCCGCGCCTCTACCGAGCGGGGCAGGCGGTCTGCCTGCAGCCGGGAGCCGGGGTCTCGCTGCGGCCGGCGATGGGCAGAGGCGCCCGGGGCGTCCTGCGTCAGCACACGCCCGGGCCTCGGGCTGTCCCCCGAGCTGCTTCTCCAGGGAAACAACGGCTCCAGAGGGACTTTGAACCCTAGGAGCCCTTGCCCTCTCAGAACCCTCTTAGCGGCCAGCGCCTTTGTTTGCAAACCGGGCTCTGGGCGCCGAGCCCTTCCACGCCCAGTGGGAAGTCGGCATGTGCAGCTCGAGCGTCGTTCTCTTAGCTTGGAAATGCACGTCGTCACAGGCCAGGAGCATGGCGCTATGACGCTGGGGAGGGCCGAGGGGAGCGGCAAACCCACATGATAGTGCACACTCCCCACAGAGCCCAGCTCCTCTCCTTAAAGCAGGAACTAGTGGGCGGGGCGGGGGGTGGAGCCTGGAGGTGAGCCCCACCAGGAAACTGAGGTTCACTATAAAAAAGTGACCATCCCCCTGAGGTTCCTGGCCCGGCGTCTTCTGTAAGGGATGCTGACCCTGGGTAGGGCAAGGGGCTCGCATGGAGGCCAAGACCCTGAGAAAGGGGAGCTGGGCTTTGTCCTGAGATTCTTCACAACCAGAGGGTGAAGTTCTAGATCAAGTTCAGCATTTCCTGTTTCCTGGGCTTCACAGACATGGGGGTGGAAGAAGGAATACCATGACTACAGTGTGAGCGGGTAGTTGAGAAGAGGCTTGTATACATGTGTACAGCACTCATACTCATGCACAAACCCATGCACACACATGTGTGCACACATGCGCACATGTGGACCCACTTGCTCAAACATGCACACATGTGTGCACATCACATGCACACACTCACACATGGATACATACATATGCAGACGTGTGCACACCCCTCACATACATAACCACATATGTACACACTCATAGGTGCATACCACCCCACATGCACACACTCTCATTTGTGCACCCACACATGCAGACACACATATGCATACACTCCCACATGCACATCACACACCTCCCCACACATATGCACACACCCACCCTAGGACACATACATGTGCATACACATGCACACCCACCCACCCATGCACACGCACACATGTACACACTCATATGTATGCACACTCTCACATACCATGCACACACCCACATGTGTGCACACCCAACTTGTACACACACATATGCACCCACTTGGGCATGCCCATGCACACCTCCACACATGCATGCACCCACTCACACACATGTGGACGCAGTCACATGTGCACACACGTGCGTGCACACACCAGCAGAGCGTGCTTCTCCTTCAGGCCCAGCAGGTGCAGCACCAGGGTCCACAACGCTTTTAAAATCAGAAGAAAACAAATCAGGTAGAAAAAAATGTTTTAATATATAATATTAGTGCATTTCTTTATACCAACGTGGCTGTAAAGCATACTTTTATTTACTTATTGTTTAGTGGAGGAAGGAGCCCACAATGGCAACGTGCCCAGGCCTTTGGGGTCAGGATGCAGCCCTGCTTCTGGAGGCAGTCCCAGGTGGCACTCACCGGGCGTGGTTCAGGCTGAGTCTGCCATCCTCCTGCCTGAGGCCCTGGGCAGGGGGCTCTCGCCTCGTGTTTGGGGGCGTTTGTGGGCACCTCCAGCTCAAGTCCCTCACCTCAAGGTACAGGTGTGTCTGAAGCTGTCGATACGAAGAGAGCATGAAAACGGCGGGGAACCAGGAAGGACAGCACCAGGCCTGGGCCCTTCTTTCCTGTCCAGAGTCCGACTCCGAGCGGCTCGGGCGCAGCTCTGGCACCGTGTATCCCGCCCGGCTGTGGCTCTGGCCTGTGTCAGCCTGCTGACTGCCCCTGACGTGACAGTAATGCTGTAATGAGTGACTCTGGATTCTTTTTGTCTTATTGGAATCGGAAGGTTCAGAAACGGGTCCGTGTTCCCCACCTCCCGCCACCTGGCGTAGTGGGCGCTTTGGATGCAGTCGGTGATCACTGGGATGTTTGCTTGGTTTGGGCCTGGAGACGGAGGGTGAGCGCCACAGAGACAGAGAAGTGCTGCTGCGGAGCCCAGCGCGAGAGAAGTCTTCCTTAGAATCCGGAGGCCGTTCTATACGCTGCGGCACTGAGGCAGTGCCTCCCACCCGCTCTGCCCGCTGGCTCTCACTGCTCCTTGCAGACCCATCCCAAACCCAGGCCATTTGCTAAGCCTGACTGCTGCCTTCTTCCCCAAATGGACCCTAAGATGGATGTGGTCCTCTGGGTGTTCAGCGAGTGACCCCAGGGCATCTCGGTCCCTGGGCTGTTTCTTTGCTTTGGTTTCTCAGCCTGACCTAGTGGAGTCACCCCCGACCACCAGTCCTCAAATGTCACGAGCATCACAAGCCTTCGCTGTGCTCCGTGCTGGGGCTGGCATGTGAGCCTGAGCACAAGTCCTGCTTCGGGACAGCTCTGGTTTTCAGAAACGTGAGGCCTGTGCGTGGACACAGCCTGTGGGTGGTGTGAGGGCTTCAACGCGCCATTGATTAGGCAAGTCCTCGTTTTCATGTCACTTGTTAGATGGCCTGGCATTTAGCAATACCCACCACTGAGGCACTTGACTGCTAACCAGAAGGCTGCTGGTTCAAACCCACCAGCCATTCCTTGGAAGGAAGGTCGGGCAATCTACTTCCATAGTGATACCACCTGGGAAACCCAAGGAGGGGTCGCTATGAGTTGGGTCTGACTCTATGGCACATAACAACAACAACAACAACCAGTGAGTTCCCCGAATGCCAATCCTCCAGGCCCACGAGCTTATAATCTAGTGAATTACTGTTTTAAGGAGCTTACAATCTAGGGAATTATTTTTATTATTTTTTTAAAGAACTCACCCTGCCTCCTGCGTCTTCTGGTAGCTGTCAGTCTTCTTGTCCCAGTGGGTTACCTTTTCTCCCTACCTTATACAGCCAGGATCATAGATTATTCGCTCTTTTGTGGCTGGCTTCTTTCACTCAGCTTAACGTTTTCACAGTTCATCTGTGTCCTACTGTGTATCGAGACCTCATTTCTCTTATGGCTGAATGACATTCTGTTGTCATTCAGTGGACCATATTCTCTTTATGCATTTATCTGTTGATAGGCACCTGGGTTGTTCCAGCCTTTTGGCCACTGTGAATAATGCTGCAAGGAACATTGGCATCTAAGTGTCTGTTTTGAATCTGCTGTCAAGTCTTTGGGGTCTATCCCCAGGAGCAGAATTGCTGGATCACATGGTAACTCTATGTTTAGCTTTTGAGGGATCGCTACACCATGTTACATTTCCACCAGAAATGCATACAGGTTCCAGTTTCTCCACATCCTTGCCAACACTTATTACTTTATGTTTTCTAATAATAGCTGTCCAGGTGTGTGGTCCAGGTGTGTGTCAAGTGGCATCTGACTGTGCCTTTGGTTTGTAGCTCCCTGCCCTACACCCTCTTTTTTGGCCTAGAAAACATTAGGTCTGACACAGAGCACCTGCCTTCTGGTAATTCCAGACCTGAGTGGAGGAGGTTCTGAAACTCTGATGGAGGACTCCCACTTCACTGGATGGATGGGCTGGGAAGTGGCCATGTGGTTCCATCTCCCCTGTGGCTCCTCCCCCTCCCATGGATCCACCCCCTTATGGCACCATGGCCCTGTGGCTCCACCCCCTTACGTCCCCATCTCCCTGTGGCTCCACCCCCTTATGGCCCCATCTCCCTGTGGCTCCACCCAATTATGGCACCATCCCCCTGTGGCTCCACCCCCTTATGGCCCCATC